TGCGAGTGTGCTAAAATCGCATAACAGCAAAATCGCATAACAGCCGAGCATACACCCAGCAGCGCTGCTGATGCCTGAACGGTATGTGGAATGAAGTGGGCAGGCATCGGGAGGCCACTATGGCACAGGGCAAGCACTATGGGCAGTCTATCTGAAGTGTGCCTGGCGTATAAGACGACCCCCCACTTGGAGGCATATTTTTCAGGGCCAAAAAATTGTCTTATATGCCGGCAAATACGGTAGTATAACATAGTATAGTGTGGTCTAATATAGTATAGGGCAGCATAGTATAATATTTTAGTATAGTATAATGTAGTGTACTGCAGTGTAGTTTAGCTTAATGTATTGTATAATCTATAATAATAAAAGTATAATATGCTAATTAGACCGGATGGTCAAACGAACTTCCGGATGAAGTTGGGGTTGTGAGGGCCAAGGCAGTTACCACAGCTGCAAGGGCTAAGACCCTTGCACGAATTTCGTGCATTGGGCCTCTAGTATACAGTATAATATAGTGTATAATATGATGTATATAAAATATAATTTACTATAGCATGATTTACTATAGTGTATTTTAGTATAGTATAGTGCAATATTAGAGTATCTACACTAATAAAAGAGAAACATGCAAATTGGTGTCACTCCACTACACTCACCAGCCAATCAAATTAACCCAACAAAGATGGTGGTTTATTTGTATATGCAGGCGTGGAACGAAGACTGAAGACAATGTAAAAGGAAGCCAAGTGCTGCAGAAGGGAGCGAAGCTGCAGAGAAGCAAGCGGAGCAGCGGAAGCAAGAGGGAAGCCCCCCTCGGCGGGTTTCGCTCCTTTTTCTGCTTCGCTCTGGCTGCAGGAAGCCCTATTCTTGCAGGAATCTTCCTGCAACGGGCCTCTAATCTATATATATAAAAGCCTATGCGACCTTTATGATGGAACAACCAGAATGACTGGAACAACCAGTCGTTATGATGCTCACTGACCACCACGGGGCAGATGTTCAATAAAGGAGCTGCCCCCAGCCCGCAGGCCCTGATCACCAACCGGCAAGCCCTGGTCAGCCTGCCACCTGCTCCCCTTCTAAGTTACAGAAGTTACTTAGTCAAGGACTCAGAACCCTCATCAGGAAAATGGGGCCAGCAAACTTACTTGGCAGAGTTCAGGGGAGATGAAACCAGATGGGACAATGCAAATAACAGCAACAGCCATGTCCCCCCTTGTGTGTAAGCAACTGTGACCCTCTGGAACGTGCCTCACATGCATTAGCCTCCTCTCCAGAGCCTTTGAACACCAGTATCACTGTTATACCCATTTCATAGACCAGCACACTGAAGCAAGAACTGTTGGGTTTCCCAGCTATCAAGTGGGTCTTTTCCCCTCTGAGAGCCAGTGACCTGATTCCCCCTGAGAGCCCAGAACCAGGCCCTCGGATTCCTGGCAAATCAGGCACCGTGCATTGCTGCCACCCTGTTCTCTCTGCCGATGACAAGCAAAGCCATCGTTCCAAAGTTGGCCACATCGTGTTTTCAGCTCTGCCACCATCCCCAAGAGTGGGTCATTGATGAAGTTCATCTTCATTTACCATCCTTTTTCATACAAGGCCCTCAACTCCTATGAGGTGCTCACTACCCCTTTACTCATCCACCCAACTAGCACTCAGCCCACAGTTCCACGTGCTGCCCACCCTACTAACCACCCCCCATCCACACAAACTGGAGGACTAGAGCACCACAGCCCCACCCTCATGAGGTTCCTGCATTTCACATGGGACTGTGGACACATCATTTTGAGTATCAGCAACCAGAACACAGAGAGGAGTGGAATTGGATGGGGCTTTTCCTCAGATGTCACCGTTGTCTTTGCATGTGAGAAGCAGCCCCATTGGCCTCAGAAGTCCCCTCCCTAAGCTGAGCCATGCCAGCCCTCCCAGTCCCCAGCTGCCACAAGGAAGAGAGGAACCCCACTTACCTTAAGTCGCCTCCATTCATGATGGTCATCACCAGGCAGAGGTCAGTTTTGGTTTCAAACGCATAGGCCAGAGAGACGATAAACCTGCTGTGTACTTTCGACAGGATCTTCTTCTCTACCATAGCACCCTGAAAAGCAAGATGTCGAAAAAACACCCTGGGTTAGGCGGGGAAGTGACATTGCCATAAAAGACCAAGTTCCACAAACCAGAAAGCATTCCGACAATAGACACAGAGTTGCAGATACATTTTAAAAGTGGTTTGCACCAAGCAATTGCAAATAAGCAAACTCAGACGTGCAAATTAGTCACACACAGAGGACTTTCCTGGAGTCTCCAGCAAGGAGCACTCCTGTCAAACCGCCTTAAAGGTAACAGGTGAGGGTTCCAGCTCGGTCCCTGGCTGCCTGTTTGTTGCTGACTTTCCTTCTTGTTCTTTCTTTCCTTTATTTTTTTTTAGTATATATATAATTTTTTATTTCAGGGAGGAAAGAAGAGGGGGAGAGAGATAGAAACATCAATAATGAGAGAGAATCATTGATCGCTGCCTCCTGCATGCACCCAACTGGGGATTGAGCCTGCAACCCAGGCATGTGCCCTGACCGGGAATCGAACCATGACCTCCTGGTTCATAGGTCGGCGCTCAACCACTGAGCCACGCCGGCCAGCCCCCGTCCTTTCTTACATCTAACCAATCGTCCTGCCAAACTCTCAGCTCCTTTCCTCCTGGCCAGACCTCTGGATAGTGGACAGCTGAGGGTCCCAGCCATCCTGCACCTCTGTTCATTTACTGCCTTTATTTTAAAACCTCGTGGTGTCCACTGAACACCTTTTTTAAAGTTGTGTTTGGATAAGAAAAGTGGAATTCCTTTCTGAAGGAGGAGGTCTTGGTGTTGGGAGAGGCCTTTTCTGTCCACACGGCATGAGAAGACCTTGGGTTGATTTTACTTCGTGTTACGTTCAAGGAGCATCCTGAACTCGGGAGAGAAGAGCCTGTAGCACTCTAACTGCTGGATCAAAATTACAGGCAGACAACCAAGAGGGAGGGACAACAGCTTCCCCCACAGAGTCCCACCATCCAGGAATCCTGGGAGGGGTGCTCTGTGGAGGCTGCAGTGCACCCCAAGAAGCTGAGTTGGCCCTCCCCCCCTCCCCGCCCCTGCACTGTGCAGTGGGAAACGGACAACAAACCATGCAGGACAGAGTGTGGGGCTGAGAGATGAGCTCCTAAGACCTAAGCAGCTTTCGCTGATCCTGCCCAAATGGGGTCTGACTCCAGCTCCAGAGAGCGGACCCCACTCAGAGCAACCTGCCTGGGCCTCCCCTCACTCCCCGTCCCTGGGAACTGCCCTCGGGGAGCAGCCTGCACCCAGCATCACAGACAGGCTCGGCCTCACGTAAAAGACAACACCCACCCTGGCTCGAGTCCCCTTGCATGCTCCATCACAGCAAAAGCCAGGGCTTGGGAACGTTCCAGAAAGTCCGAGTAAAGACTCGAGAACAATCCCAGCCTCCCCAACACTGCTGCTGCGCTTGGTGGTGCTGCTGAAAACCGAGGGCAACAGGATGTGGAGCGTCACCCACAACAACAGATGCAAAGGCCGCTCACTAAGAAGGGACGTCAGCAACCCGCTTGTGTGCAGCGCGTGAGGCTGCTAGTTAAGAGCAGCTGGACAAACTGTGCCATGGGCCGGAGGACCGCAGGGGCCACATGCCGCCTCCTTCTGCCACTCCCCTCGGGGCCAGGCGCACAGCTGCTGGCACGGCACAGATGGGGCTGGCTCAGGTCAAGGAGACGCAGGTGAACTAGAAACCAGCCGACAGTGGCACGACGGGCGGGGCTTCATGTCCCAACAGGAAGGTGAGCCAGCCACCTGGGCACCCGGGGGCCCTCCCAGCCCAGGGACCCCACCCGCCCACCTGCTAGACCTAAGAGGTGCCCTCCACCGTGCATGGCCGTGCAGCCCACCTGGTACCCCTTCCTTTTCTTCAGCCTCTTCTTGTTCAGCTTCTTACACGCATACATCTTGCCCGTCGCCTTCATCTGGCAGGCCGACACCTCCCCAAAGCCCCCTTTCCCCAGCACCCGAAAGTCCAGGAACCAGTCCTCGCCTGTGGGCTGCGCCTCCAGCCACTTCCACTGCAGGAACCTCTGGAAGTACAGGCTGCCCAGGAACTCCTGGAACGGGGCCTGGCTCAGGTGGGCCAGGGTGGCCTGCAGCAGGGGCTGGAAGAGCCCGTCCCCGCTCGCCGCTGGCCCCTCCCGGACCTTCGCCCCCGTCCCTTCATCCAGGAAGCCGCAGAAGAGCTTGGCCTGGGGGTCCAGGTACTCAGCCAGGACGGCCCGGGCCTTCTGCGGCCGCAGGTCATCATCAGCCGTGTCGTAATCCTCAATGTCCTTCCAGAGCTCTAGGGCCGGCACGTGCCTCTCGTTGGCCTTCAGGAACTGCTGGAAAAGCCGCTTGCCGATGGGCTGCTCCGAGCACAGGCTCTGGAACTCCAGGTCCAGGCAGTCCCCGAGGGCCTGGCACTTGGAGAGCGGGGGCAGCTTGAGCTTGGCCCGGTACTTCTTGTCCCGGGAGGGCGGCGCGCAGCTCCCATCGAAGCTGCCCCGAGCAGAGATGAAGGCAGAGTTGGCCACCACCGTCTCCAAGGACCCAAAATCCATCCTGGCACCCAGGAGGCCCACCTCCTGCCACTCAGGCACCGGGAGCCATGAGCTAGGCCTCGGCGTCAATGTCCAGAGCAGGCCTGACCTGCTGCCCTTGGCCTGTGTCCGGTCCCGGCTGCAGGGACAGGAGGTGTCCCAGTACAGAGATGACTGGGGGTCACACCAGGAGCCCCCGGGGAGCCCAGCTGACCCAGCTCAGGCTAAATCCCAGCCCGGGGTTATGGAGGATGCTCCTGGGGTGGGGCAGCAAGCAGGTGCCAGAAAAAGACAATCCCCTAAGCTGCTCCAGGAAAGATTAGGTGGCCAGCCTGCCGGGCTCCTTCCGCAGAAGCCAGCTGTCTTGACAAAGCCCAGGACACGGGGGTGCGCCTCGCTGAAGCCCCAGAGATTCCATCTTTTTAAGCCGCCCCGCCAGCCCTCTGGCCTCAGCAGCCTGCAGACCGCCCCTTTGTTTCCTTGCAGAGTCAGGAGGCCAAACTCAAGGGAGAGGGGCCCCAAGAGAAAGCTCAATGGATGAGGATGCCTGCTTTCTTTCCCTGGCAGATTTTACTTTTATCTTAAAGAAAAATAGCCAGGGAGGAGAGAGAGAGAGAGAGAGAGAGAGAAACAAAACCCACAGTGCACAGCATCCTGGGGACTCCCCCAGAGACCACTGGCCCTGAGGAACCGGCCCGTCTGAGGGCTGACTTGTCCTGACCTGACCCTGAGAGGGCGGTGCTCCCATGTCACGCTGCTGGGCTGGACCTAGATAACTCCGGCTTGCTGAGAGGACAGCTCCGCATCCATTCCTTCTTCTCGCTTGGGTCTGCCTACAAAGCCAAAATGCCAAGAGAAGCATTCAGCTGCGATTAGGACAGGGAGACAGGAGACACACACACACACACACACACACACCTGCAAGCTACACCCAGTGCTGAGGCCCCACACCGGAGTGAGGGAATGAAGAGGCCACGGACACATCTGGGGCACACCTGGGACACACCTGAGGGATACCTAGCACACACCTGGCATTCACCTAGGCACATCGGCCTCCTCTCCAGAGCGAGCCAGGAACATACCTGTGGCACACCAGGAACATACCTGGGACACATCTGGGGTACACCTAGGGAGGCCAGGACCAACAGAAATGTTGGCTCCATAGCTACAGCCTTATCTGTCTATTCTACTACACAGTAGGTGCTCAGCAAATGTTTGGGGGAAAGTGTCAAGGAAGTGGTTGCGGTTTAAAGAGGAGAGGAGATGAAGGGTTTCAGAGACGAATAAAGCCGTGGCCGGGAGAGGCACGGACCTCCCAGCCCACCCCTCTGTGCGTGGTGGGAGAAGAAGAGTGTCTCTGAGGGCAGTGAGATTCTTCCAGAGGGTGTGGGGCAGGTGGGATCCTCTGTAGTAACTAGAGAGGTGGAAATGAGGACTTGGGGCTGTGCAGCCAGTCTCCCTGCCTCCCAACCAAGTGGGTGGTGAGTCCAGCCCAGCCTGTTAGGTAAACCTTGGGGCAATCACTCTAATCTTATCCTGACCCGCTCAGGGTTCACATGGGACATGGTGCCTGTGGAACGGAGCGCCCCCTGCTAGGTTCCCCGTGTGTCCTGGGTCAGTGCTTCCACCAGGCACCAGGCAGACAAAACGCCTGGATATCTTTCAAAATAAAGATTATGCTTCAGTGGCCTGGGGCAGGTCCCCACGGCTCCCAGCTGGTGCTAACACGGACCATCCGGACCCACTGTGAGAAGCCGGGTCTGAGGAAGACAACGCCCATCCGGCCAACACCGAGCAACCTTCTGGGGAAGGAGAAGCAGCGGTTAAACAGCTAAATGTTTCCCGTGAACCTGGCTCTCTAAGAGGGGTCCAGTATGCAGTATTTCCCAAACTCGTGTGGTTCTGGGACCTCCCTCCTTATTTAAATTAAACGTCTTATTTGGGAATAATTGTAGACTCATATGCAGTTAGAAGAAAGGATCCAGAGAGGTCCCCTGTACGCTCTCCTCAGTTTCTCCCAATGGCAGCGTCTTCCCAAACTAAAGCACAGGATCACAGCCAGGATACTGACCCTGACACGGGCAGCACGGAGCACTTCATCCCCACCAGGACCCCCATGTGGCCCATGCGTAGACACACCCTCCTTCCCACGCCCACACTCTCCCGCAGGATCACAGCCAGGATACTGACCCTGACACAGGCAGCTCAGAGCACTTCATCCCCACCAGGACCCCCGTGTGGCCCATGCGTAGACACACACCCCTCCTTCCCACGCCCACACTCTCCCAAACCTCTGGCAACCACTGATCTGTTCTCCATCATTTCAACTATGTTCTATACATGGAATCATCTAGTACATAACCTTTGGGGGTTGGCTCTTTATACTCAGCATAATTCTCTGGAGATTCATCCAGGTTGTTGTGTGTACAAACAGTGTCATTGCTAAATTCTATGGTGCAGATGGACCACCGTTGTTTTAGTCATTCACGTGTTGAAGGACATCTGGGTTGTTTCCAGTGTGGGGCTATCATGAATAAAGCAGCTATAAGTATTCGTGTACATGTTTTTGTGTCAATTTCCATTTCTCTGGGATTAATGCCCAAGAGTATAATTCTTGAGTTAGATGGTAACTAATTGCGTGTTTAGTTTTTTTTAAAGAAACGGGTAAACTTTTTCCAGAATGGCTGTACCATTTTACATCCCTACCAACCACATATGAGCAATAAGGCATCTGAGCATCCTCCCCAGCTTTTGGTGGTGTCGCCATTTTTTATTTAGCTATTCTGATAGGTGTGTAGTGGGATTTCGTTGTGGTTTTAATGTGCGTTTCCCTCATGGCTAGTAATATTGAACATCTTTCCAAGTGTTTGTCACCTGTTTGGTGAGCTGCCTCTTCATGCCTTTCAACCATGTTCTAACTGAATTGTTTGCTTGTTTATTGTTGAGTTTTGAGTGTTGTTTATCTATCTTAGATCCTTTGTTGGACTTGTGGTTTTCAAATGCTTCTTTCCGATTTTTGCTTGTCTTTTCATTCACTTTACATGGGCTTTCATAGAACAAAAGCTTTTTTTTATTTCGTTGAAGTGCAATCAATTTTTTCTTTTATGAATCATGCTTTTGGTGTCGAGTCTAAGAACTCTTTATGTTTCTTTTTTCATCCTCTCCCAAATTCAACCTTCCCACTCAACAAGTTTTACACTTTTAAATCATGATCAATTTTAAGTTAATTTTTCAGGCCAACCCTCTATCCAGTGAGCCAAACCAGTAAGGGCTTAAGTTAATTTGTTTACATGTGAGACTTCGGTCAAGGTTCATTTTCTGCCAGTAGTTGTTCAATTGCTCCAGCTTCACCTGTTGAAAAGGCTATCTATGCCTCGTTGAATTGTTTTTGCAGCTCAAAAATCAGTTGGGCATATTAGCGTGGTTCTGTTTCTGGGCTTCCTATTCTGTTCCATTGGTCTCTGTGTCTATCCATCCACCAATACCGAACCATCTTGATTGCTGTAGCTATTTCTGTGTATATTTGTGAGGTATATTGTCCTGTAGTTTTCTATTTTTATACTGTCTTTATCTAATTTTGATATAAGAGTAATACATGTCTTATAAAATCAGTTGGGAAATGCTTCCTTCTCTTCTATTTTCTAGAAGATACAGTATATAATTTGTAATTCTTCATTAAATGTTTGGTAAAATTTTCCAGTGAATTGGGAGGTTTTAAATTATAAAATCAATTTCCTTACTAGTTATATGGCTATTCAAATTATCTATTTCAAATTGAATAAGTTATGTGCATGGAGGACAGGTCCATTTCATCTAAGTTGTCGAGTTTACATACGTAGAGTTGTATATGGTACTCCCTTATTATCTTTTTGAAGTCTTCAGGGTCTGTAGTGATATCTCATTTCATTTCTGGTGTTAGTTATTTATGTCTTCCTTCTCTCTTGCAATAGTTCTGCTGACTTTATTGGTCTTTTGAAAGACCCAGTTCTTTGTAGTTTTACTGATTTTCTCTTTTGTTTTTAATTTCACTGGTTTCTGCTCATCTTTTATTTCTTCCTCCTGTTTGCTTTCCTCCCTCTTTTTTTTCTAGGTTTTTGAAGTGTAAACTTAGATTATTGATTTGAGACTTTTCCTCTTTTCCAATATATTAACTTAGTGCTATAAATTTTCCTGTGAACACTGCTGTAGCATTCATTCAGCTCCATGTATTACTTGAAATTTCCCTCGAGGCTTCCTTTTTTACTCATATATTACTTAGAAGTGTATTGTTTAGTTTTCACATGTTTGGAGCATTTTCTGTTATCTTTCTGTTATTAGTTTCTAGTTTGATTCCATTAGGATTGTAGAACGCATTCTGCATTATTTCATTTTCTTTTTCAAATTTGTTGAGCTTTGTTTTATGGCCTAGCCCTAGGATATGGTCTATCTTGGCAAATGTTCCATGAACACATAAAGAGAAAGTATATTCTGCTGTGATCGATGGATTATTCTACCGAGGCCAACAACACTCTGATGATTGACGGTGTTATTGAGCTATTCCATATCTGTGCTGATTTCCTACTTAGTTGTTCTTTCAGTTGTTGAGACAGGAATGTTGAAGTCTCTAACTAAAATTGTGGATTTGCTTATTTCTCCTTTCAGTTCTATCAGTTTGCTTTACATATTTTCTAGCTCTCTTGTTTGGTGCATATACATGTGGGATTGCTATATCTTCTTGGTGGATTGGCCATTTATTATCATACAATGTCTGTCTCTAGATTTTGTGTGTGTCTTTAATTTTGAGTTTAATTATGATGCATCTTGGTGTAGATTTTGGAGGTCACGGTTATCTGTTCGCTCAGCTTCTTGAATCTGTAAGTTGATGTCTTTTGCCAAATTTTAGGGAGTTTTCAGTCATTATTTCTTTGAGTAGTTTTCAGCCCTACCCTCTTACTTCTCTCCTTCCAGAGCTCTGATGACACAGATGTTAGATTCTTATTTCAGTTCCCCCTATCCCTGAGGCTCTGTGCAGTTTTACTCAAGTTTACGTCCTCCCTATTGTTCAGATCAGGTAGTTTCTATCGCGTTGTCTTCCATGTTTCTATTGGTTTTTCTTTCCTCTGCCCCCTCCCTTCCACCGTGGAACCCATTCTTTGAGCTTTTTATTTTGGTTAATGTATTTTTTCATCTAAAATTTTCATTTGGTTCTTCTTTGTATGTATCTTATTTCTTTCCTTAAACTTTTTATTTGCTGAGGCTTTCTATTTTTTTTTTATTTGTTTCAAGCATGTTCATAATTGCCCCCTGAAGCCATTTTATCATAGGTGCTTTAAAATCAGTCAGGTAATTCCAACATTTCTGTCACCTCAATGTTGGCATTCAACAATTTTCTTGTTTTAATTCATTTTGCAAGCTTCCTGGTACTTGGTACGATGCGTGATTATCAACTGAAATGTAACATTTCCCTATTATTTACTCCTTCAGTTTTAGCGGGCTGTTTCTGACTCCAGTCAATCAGTAGAAGGGAGTTGGGCTCCACCTCATTACTGCCAGGTGCGGATAAACGTCTAGGCTTCCCACATGGGAACCTGGGCGGTGCTCCCCACTTGGTCTGGAACCCACTC